AGACCCAACTTTTCTCAACCAACTACAATCTGGAGTTAACCGCTGGATTAGAGAAATCCAAAAGGTAAATTGAGAAATGTATTATTATTGTTATATATGTATAAAAATGTGAAATCACAGTTGCTATTTCTTTAGCTGGTGATGGTCTTCATACTCATTGACTTTTTCCCAAGAACCTAGGATATCATAATATATTAGTATAGTATATGTGCAGATCCAAGCAGTGTGGCCTTTTGTAACTGACAGATAGAAATTTTGTCAATGCGTATATTTTCTAAATGCCATTCAAGATTTTTTTAGTATGGCACCCAGTATGCCAATAGACAGTGGGATCACCATGGCCAGAATATTTCAATTTTCAGACCTTGATACTTTGTGGTCTACTCCTATTCTTTGTCTTCTATTCTACTAAATTCTGGTATTGCCACATTAACTATCCATATTTTCTAGTTTTCAGCCACAGTTAAATCTGGTGTGTTACGAGCCAAGACTTATCAGTTTGTATAAATATATCCCACAATATTTTAACCTGCTCATTTTTGTCTACTTTTTGAATTCTACCATTTTTTCATTACTTGCATATGATAATTTTTACAGATGTTACACTGAATCATTTTGCTGACTGTGTTATTTCATTGTTTATAATCAGCTGGTCGTAATCTTGAACAAGCTGAGTATATGATCTATTGTTTCTTCTACTTCTTTGCACAATCTGCCCTTAAATCATTTGACAATCTTTCAGTTCTGGCCTTGATTTCATTAGTTCAAATAACTTTCTCTTGAGAAGCCAAAATCAAGCCTTTAGGGTTTTTTTAATGTTCCATTGTAAACAATTGCCAGGTTTTATCTTTTATCCACTTTCCCCTCAATCCTTTGTTGAAATTGATCATCTAATACTTGCCAGCATTCTGTTCTTGTTTTTAGTTTATTATTTCAATGTACTATTTGGTTTCTTGCACATTCAGTAGTTTCCAATTTTTAATTTGCACAAAACTTATTCTTGGCTATCTTTTATGTAATTAGCAAATGCATGCTTTTCTTCTTTGACAGTTTGTTTGACTTAAAGTAAACCTCCATTTCTGTTGAGCAAGTATAATCTATCGGTGTGACAGCAGATGTGTAACTCATAGTGAATAATCATCTATTTTCTTGTGTTCTGGTCCAAAATGTCCACTGCCCATTTAATAATTCTAGCAATGTATTGCATCACAGGTATTGTCCAGGTGTTGATGCCTTTTGATGGTATTCTCCATTCAAATTTTTGTTTATAACTTTTCTTACTCATTAGATTTCTTTAGTAACTAAATCTTTAGCTTTTCATGCTTGATGTTATCCAACTGTAAAATGCCCAGATACTTTAGGCTTCATCCTGATGGCTCCTGATGGTTTGGCCATTTGGCATTTCAATTCTAATTACTTTTAGTGATTTTACCCTGATGTATTGCTACTATAGGTAGCTATCAGCTATAAGAAATATGATCCATTTCTCTAAACCAAATTTCATTGCTATATCTATGCTAAAAATTCTTATCACGTTTATCAGCAACTGGGTTTCGATTTCTTATTTGAGGTATTCAAAATAGAGATATTCAAAACTTTGCACTAAGGATTTCTGATCCATTCTTTTTATCCTCTGGCTCTAGTGTCCAACCTTCCAGGTCTTTTTTTTTAAGGCAAAACAATCTCCATTTTTCCATAAGAAAATATTTTCTAAAGAATTCAAAACTATAATTCCAAATCTTCTGGCCCTTTAATCCATTATTAACTTTCCAAAATCTAGATGCTAAGTACCCTTTTGCTTCATGGTCCAAAAATCATACATTTTTAAAATATTTAAAATAAAATTTAACCCTTTTAGGGAGGTGGAAACTCACCCAGTGAATATAGTAAAACCTTGATCTTAACAATGTCTCCTTTGTTCCAGCGATATTACACCAACTTTGATCTAGCATCCAGCCCTAATTCCCTTCATTAGAGCTGTCTTGCTAGCAAGCAGAAGCCAGCAAGATACCAGTTCACCATGGCAGAACTTAATTTTTTGTATCTGTTTTTTTCTTTTATTTCCTTTCTGTTCTACTGCAAATATCTTACTGTATCTTTCTAATTAAGAAGTAAGTAGATGTATATAAGTTTTCCTGTATCATTCCAACAATTTGTTTATGTGCAGTCACCAACTACTTTCAAATCCATTGGTTTACAGTTACATTTTTCAAATGAACACTGCTTCAATTTCTAATTAATCAGACTAGTTCTCAAGCTGTGCTCCTGGATATCTGAATAATCCAAGAATTTTATTAGCAATTTCCCAAATAGAGGATCAGTAAAGGCAGATGAAATTTCCTGGAGAAAAATATGATAGGTTTTCACACTCTCTCTGGCAGTTTGCAGCTTCAGCTACTATTTGAATGAAGCATAGCAATATCACTTATTGTATTGTATAAGTGCAGTTGTAATCCAGAATCCTCTGCAGTTTTCTGAGGTTTGTGAAGGAATAACCCAAAAAATTTTCAGTTGACCAATTCCCCTCAGGATTCCTAGGAACAAGTTGTAAATAAACGTATTTAAGAACACGGGTATAACAATACAATTTATGCAAGTTTACTCAGAAGTAAACCTCGATGTATGACTTTTTAAAAAATGTGTTTAGAATTGTACCTTAGAGTTTAATCAGGATGTATTGAAAATAAATCACATTTGTCTGGGTTCATATAGCACATTATTATATTATTTATAGTACAATGAACCATATGTTCTTGGAAAATATAAAAGACAAACTTGAAAAAAGGGGGAAATCTGAAAGAGGTTCAAGGGGTAAAAAATTATTAATTTTATATTATAACGTTGTCTTACAAAGGAAAATTCAAGAGCAAAACCAAGAAAACAAATCTAAAGGACAGCTTTCTGAAATAAAGGACTCTCCTTTATAATAAAGGATGTACAGTTACTGTATGTATAGGTCATAATATATACCGTATTTTTCGCTCTATAAGACGCACTTTTCCCCCCCAAAAGATGGGGGAAAATGTCTGTGCGTCTTATGGAGCGAATGCCGCCTCCCGCCGCTCCGCATCCCACGCCTCCGTGTTTCAAGCCTCTGTGGCACAGAACTGCTGGCGTTATGCTTGGGCGGAAGACGTTTTCTTTTACAGATGGGGCGGGTGGGCCTGACATTCGCGCGCAGGCAGGACCCCGCCCGCCGAGCCACCGCTTCCCCATCGCCCTCCACGCCAGCCGTCTCCAGACCTCCCAGCTGACGGGCACAGGTCCGGGGCTCGCCAGCTGACGGGCGCAGGAGGTAGGCGCCGCCGCGGCCTCCCAACCGCTCCAGCCGAAGAAGCAAGTGGCTGGGACGCCGCCGCGGCACGGTTGGG